AAAGCCAAGCACTATGACTCGTGAAGCAAAAATACAGCCTTAATAGCTCTCTGCAACTCATTCTCCAAGTCACCCAGTTGAGCACCATTTTTCTTTCCCAGAAGCAACCAAAAAGCAAAACTGAAATGAACACATAAAACCAACTTCAGTGTCTCAATTATCATTTAATACCAGCAAACTGGACCAGTCTCAATATTAATCACACAACTAATGAACCAAAAGCAATATCATTCACACAAGCAACCAGCTGATGAAATTGTACACAACCTGTCATTCGTTTTGTTTACATATACACAAAAACCCATTAAAAAAAAATACCGTTTGAGCTTTGTTTCGTGCTTCTGAATCCATTTCATTTGTAACATTTGATTTGCTTTTATGAATATGAAGCAGAATAATAGAGCCGAAAGAAAGGAGAAACCAAAACAACTGAATCCAATTTATTTGATATAAACATTGTAATTTGATCAGGGAAGGGAAGCCTGATGATGGCCACTATTGCTGACTTAGCACTGGTAAAAAGCTCCCCAATTCTAACTTGTACTATGATTTCATTGAAAATCTTGTCTGCACCATTTATTAGCATCAGATTGTTCCTTCAACAAAGAATGTGATCACTACTTAGAGGTCATCAAATTATGAACCGACTTTTTTCTTGAATCGACATCCACAATCTATTAAAGCAGTTAAAAGAGCATGTAGACACTGCCTCCAATTCATATACTGAGGAGCCATGGCCTCAGGGCGAAGAAACCTCTGACCCTGATTACTTGGTCGATGCTCTCCTTTTACAGTAGAAGTCTACGCTTGAAAAGTAATGGAATCTTCGTCTGACGATTGTAATAACTGATATGCCGAGGGAGCGAGTCCGAAAGAAAGTGCAAGTTACTTGTTTCGGAACATCTGCTAAATACTTGATGTTAATGCTACTTATTATCAGAATTCCCTTTTGGAGATAGATCTGATGTTAATAGTTTAATGTTAATGTTAATAATCTAGTGAAGGTTAATCTGACTATTGGACACTCTATGCTTGGACGTCCATTTTCAAGAAAGCAGGCTTTTTCTTGTTAATGTTAATTTGTCAACATCACCTGCAAAAAGGGGTGAAATTTTTCTCTGATTTCCCCTTTTTTTTTATTACTAGTCTATTGCCCGTGCATTGATTACGAAGGTAATGTTTGCGTTCCAAAAAAATATATTTATCTCCGTTTTTTGGTTGCATTTTTTTAAGTATTGAAAGCATAAATTATTAATAGTTGTTAGACGTCAGTAAGTTTTTATCTAACATAATAATAAGTAAAATTTAATAATGATAATATTCTAGTAAGATTTAAATGAAGAATTTTTGGTATCCAAAATTTGTTTTTAAGGAAGAAATTAATGGGGACAATATTAGTAATTTTTAAGCTTGGTAACGTTTCAAAATATTTATAATACACACTGAATAAAGAAGAAAGTTTAATGAAAAAAACGAAAATATTATCTAATAATATTAAGCACGCTACAGTTCTATTTTTGAGGAGTCATGCAAATATTGAAGAAAAAAATTCATCCAATATTTGGGAATATCTGAATGTGATCGACGTAATCCATCAGGTCGCAAGGGGCAACACCCCCAACGGGGATCGACATGTTTTCATGTATGTATGGAATTGA